AGTCAAATTTTCATCGATCCATCCATTTTTCTTGAACATCCACACCAAACCTGCTTCAAATATTTCAGTGTGATCAAAGTTCTCCTTCATCCTCCAATCTAAATGATCAAAAAGGTAGTTAGGATTTTCTATTGCATTCATTATACTCCAAAGTTCTCTTTCTATGTCCTTCATTTTTTTCTCCAAAACTATTGAACTTCCAACTGTATAGGGCATTAATGGTGTTGAAGCATGTGATGAATGAAAGCATTGAAGCATGTGATGAATGATCCAAGATAATATCCAATGCTTCATTTCCATTTCCAATATAGTTCTCTTTAATAGAAATCATGGGCTCCCATGGTAATAATACTTTCTCCCAACTTTCATATGACACTTGAGATTGACTGCAAAGTAAGAAAATTGTAGAAGGATGCCCCAGTCCATATATAAGCCCATTCATAATAATACTCATAATAGATTTGAAAATAATTGATCCCACATCAATGAGCTTTCTCATTTGAATTCAATAGTTTAAAGTTTTACTTTCTTTTGTAACTCTACTAATCATCATTGTAGGGAGTAGTTATGTAGAGATGAAGAAATTTGATTGTTTAGATATTGGGTTAAGCAGTGAAGCAGAGAAACTAATGTATCATTCATCTCTAATTTCCCAATTATCATTTTCACCTGTCAGAAGTTGGTATAATTCATGCATCATATCTTCCGTCGGGATAAAATTTGTATAATGACAGATTGACACGTTTTTTATCATATGCAAATCATTAATTCATGACGGAGTAAATGGTACAGCCTTAACTAGAACGAAGACGACTCCTTGGTTAATTCCATGTAAGTTAACATAGAATTCCTTTACCACTGGAACAATAACTGTGGCGGTGGTGTAGCATAGTACTTCAAACATCTTTGTATAATGATTTTCTCAATCTAAGAACTGGATTACTCAATCCATGATTGACAAAGCTTCTCTCTCCTTCATAAGTCTCCTCTTTGTGATGACATTATTGTATAATCTCAGTGCGTTAAAAATGATAAACTTTCTTCTATTGAAAACTCCATACCTTGAAGTATTTATGGATTTGGAATCCATGAATTTCAAATTTTGGAAGTTTCTGGTCGTCCAAGGCATTTTTCAGGCCTTTAAAAACACCGCAGTTATTTCAGAGTGCAATCTCGCTAAAGTCCGCTAAATTCATCCTGAACCACATGAACTGTTATGGACGTTGTCGACGCTCCCGATGGCGCTGTCAGTGCTAAGGCTTGTGTAGAAGGTTGCCCAGGCTAGCGTCGTCGGTGCCAAAGCCTATGGTTGTGTCGCTCCTCTTTTGGTTCAATTCAATTCATAATTTTCTTCCAATACCAATATTTATATTAATTTAAGATATATAAAATTGTGTAGGATTCTAAGATATTATTATTTCCTAATATATATATATATTTATATTTATATATAACACTTATTAAAAAAATAGTAAGATATATAGATATATATGGGTTGCCTCTCACAATGCGCTTGGTTTAATGTCGTCAGCCTGACGTATCATTGTTTAATCAGGATGACTAAACATCATAATTTTTTTAAATTGTGATAAGTGCCCTTCATAATAATGTTTTAATCGATGTCCATTAACTTTAAATATCTTTCCAATCTTAGGATCTTTAATAACAAATGTTCCATAATGATAAACTTTAATCACACTAAATGGTCATAAAATTGAATAATCATAACCATCTAGTTTTTAGTATTCCTGGAAATAATCTCAATCTAGTATTATATAATAGAACTTCTTATCCAGGTTCAAATTTCTTTATAATCTTCTGATCATGCCATATTTTCATTTTCTATTTATAGATTTTTGCATTATCATATGCTTCATTTCTAATCTCCTCAAGTTCATTGAGTTACAATAATCTTTCTCACCAGCATCTTTTAGATAAAAATTAAATTCTTTAATAGCCCAAAATACTCTATGCTCCAATTCTACTCGTAAGTGGAATGTTTTTCCAAAAATAAGTCTATATGGAGACATTCCAATAGAAGTCTTAGAAGCAGTTCTGTACGCCTATAGTGCAGTATCTAATCTAGCAGACTAATCCAATTTATAGGTATTTATATCTTTTTCAAAAAAACCACATGATCAAAGAAGGAGAGAAAAATTTATCTCCAATGGAGTCGCCAGAACTTCTCGATTAATTTTTTTGAAAATATAACTAAATTTAATATGGGTATAATTTTGATTTTCAAAATAGATTTTTAATTTTTAGGGATGAGACCAAACATATCTCACGTGTTTAATAGTTCGAATAATAAAGCATAATATCACAATTGATAGTCACTCTAAGAGATGAACGTATCACTTGCTAGTAAGCTTGACCATATAAACTAAAAAATCTATGACATTCATTTATTCTGTGAAATTTTTTACCAACAATTCCCCTATCTAATATAAAGACCAGATATGGTTTAAATTATCTCGGTTCCTAATTTCTTTTAGAGGCAAGCCCCTATAGATAATTACATCTTAGGCAACAGAAGTCGCCTAAGGAAACTCTCGATTAAGATCAGGGGTTTCATCTTCAAGAATTAAAGTTTGAGTTTTTGTGAAAGTTAATTTTTGAGATCAAAGGAGCGAGAGGTAAGGGATTTCACAGATTCTAAGGCAAATATCAAGGGCCTCCCAAACTATCCTATTGTTTGACATTATGTTTTACAAGTGGTATTTATTTTATGTTTACTCCTGCCAATTATTAATATTTGCACAATATATGATGCAATCGGGTTGTTGCGACAGCTACAACAATAATATAATTCAGGATAGTTAATATTTATTTAAATTTTTATAGTTGCCACTTCTAGCAATTTAAGGTATTATTTATCGATTTCAAATATTCGCTAGGATGCTAATGTAAGTATACGTATCGCTCAAGTAATTTAGGGCTCTATTGGAGTACTAAGTATCGATCCCACAGGGAAGTTTAGAATTCTTATAATATTAACTCAAAGAAACTCGATTAAACTGCATAAGACTTAACTAGGAATGCATGTCAAAATTTGTGTTTTAAACTATGTGAATTATATCTACTACTTTTATCTCTAAACTCGAAGTAAATTTTATGTTCACTAAAATTAAGTTATATGAAGAAGAGTTCAAATTTTAGAAAGTATACTTCTTCTTGCAATAAGATTATGATTAGTGAATAACTCAAATTGTTATTAATTATATTGTGCCAAGTATGAGCATATCTATTCTTTACCCTCTTATAAGTGCATAAAGAACATTGACTAATCCGGAGTCAAGTTCCTAAATCCTTGGTTAGGCTGGGAAGACACTAGCTCTCACTCTAAAGTTCACACTATCCGTCTGCAAGGAGGCTAACATCTAGCCTTAGGTTCTAAACTACAGGATCAAATTGGAGGTTCTAGCCTGTCAGTCTAGAATCACCAAATTGTGCTCATCAAAACTAATTTTCATATTTAGTTGCACTTGACCACATGAACTACAATCTCATCCAAGAGATCAAATGTGATTCTTACTCGGTTGAGGAAAGCATATCCAATTTAGATCATTATGTTTCACAACAAATTTTACGTGAGAATTCTCCTTCCTAGTTGGTATGTCCACGCTCACCGCACCACTCTGAAAGATGTTGAATCCTAAATTGTCCTTTGTGAAAACACGCCTCGAAGGTTAGAGCCGAAAGAAGGATGAGAAAGAGCAATCAAGAAAGGTCTCTATCGAAAAAATGGGGAGAGTACTTTTTATTCGCCTCTTTCCCCTCCATTTTTAAGGGCGTATTTGTATAGTTATAGAAAGTAGTGAACAATTAGAGAAACAATCTTTAATACAATTTAATGGTGATGATTTACTACAAAATTTGTATTATAATTTGAATTTAAATATGGTAGTAACCAAATGATTGATGCGCTTGAGTTCGATCTGAAGGCCAGACGACCGACAAAATGGCAATGGGGCCTACCTAAGTAAAAAAGCCGATTGTCTGGTGGGTTGCGATTTGACACCTCTGGCAAAAAGCCTAAGCTGATCCGAGACTATATGTGTGGTTGCCAGCTGAGTCACTCGTTAGAGTATGTCGGTTGACTCCGATAGTTCCTCATTATAGCTTGTCGGTCGACTCCGATCAGACTATCGGTCATTGGATGATCAGCTAAGATCATATTTCTATAGCCTGATGCCTCGATTGTCCGAACTTCGTCCTAAGCCGCTTGATTGCTTTGAGATTCGTGCTGATGATTTTGATGCATACAAGATGCATACAACATTTTTAATTTATTTGATCATTGAATTATTATCAAGAAAATCTTTACTATAGTTCAAGTGTTAGGTTTTGAGTCAACCTAGATCATATAACTTTGGTGTGATTGAATTTTTCTCATTAAGTTATTTAATTTAAGTATAAGTTTATTAAATTTAGAAATGAGATAGTTTACAATTTAATTTTTTTCACATCTTAAATGGATATAAAGGTGAATATTACACTAATATGAACGACTTGAGCCAATCTTAAACAAGATTTTGGTCATGCTATGACTTTTTCTAAAAAAAACAATCTATGATATAATTTTATTGATTGAGATGACTAATGTCACATGCAGGTTAATCTCAGTTCATTGATTTTAGTGTTTTTTACCACAATTATAAAATCTTACATTGCAGGAGAAAGATATGCTTACATGTAAAAGTTTGTAAATTAAGGTTGTGATTATTTGACCACATTCAGGACAAATCGCCTAACAACCTTTTAGGTCCGCGTACGCATAAGGTTTCCGAACGGTATATGATAAAGCCAATTAATTCACTAAATGGTCGTTAGTTCATTTTATTCCGCAAAAGCATCCAATTTCCTTCTGCTGGAAGCATTCTCCGAAGTGGGTCCCACCTGGCTCCCTTTCAGTTTTATTATTCCCGTCGCCACCCGCCTAAAATCCGCAAATAAGTTTCTCGTGTCGTGACCTACTCGAGGTAAGCTAATTTCGCGGTTCACGGCATTTTTAACGTCTATGATCATTCCTGACAATATCGGACGGCTTCCACGACGTACTGCCTAAGTCTCCCTTGATGGACTCCTATATAGAGCACCCAGAACCGATCGTTGAGTGTTAGCTTTCCGCTACTGGAATTTAGTGTACTGTCGTCGTCTTCTACTTCACGGCAGTTTTCCCTTAGTCGGTGAGCGGAGATTCTTCAGTTGCTCATGAGTTTTTCACTCCGATCTTTACGGATAGAATGTGTTTTTGATGAAATTTTTTTTTGATTGTTAGTTGTTGCTTTTGTTACGTTTGTTCTGAAATTTCTCTGTTTTGATCGTCTAGTCTTTCATGGGCAATGGGCGTGGGATTCCTTTTGTGATTCTTATTGTGACGATCCTCATACTTCCGTTGATTCTCCCGGTTTCTGCGGACGGATTGACTAGGATCGCGCTGAAGAAGAGATCGCTGGATGAGAACAGCAGGGTTGCCGCAAGGCTTGTTAATGGTGAAGTGGATCCCCTAAAATATGGCGGGATTGGTCTCAGAGGAGTTTTGGATGGATCGGAGGAGGATATTATAAGGTTAAAAAATTACATGAATGCTCAGTACTATGGAGAGATTGGCATCGGTTCGCCTCCGCAGAAGTTTACTGTGATATTTGACACTGGAAGCTCGAACCTATGGGTTCCATCGGCAAAGTGCTACTTCTCGGTTAGTGCGCCATTTGTGTGTCTGCGTTTTCCCTAATTTAGCATCGCAAAGGAATTCCTTGGACCTTTTAGGTTTTCCGCTCCTGTTTTTGACTGATAATTTAATTGAGAAATATATTCATGATTTTAATTGCGTTTCTATTAAAAATCCACAAAATTTTGTAACTTTCTAGGTCTATTCTTGACGAATTGTTACTTGTAGTATGGACATCAAAATTTCTAACGCTTTAGTGTTATTCTGTAAATTTTGTCTAGTTTCAACATCAATTACGATTAAACTGATGCATTCTGTTTCTATTCTCTTGCGATTTGCAGGTCGCTTGTTTTTTTCATTCGAAGTATAAGTCCAGCAAATCAAGCACCTACAGGAAGAATGGTGTGTCTTTTCTTTTTCTTATGATCACTTTCATTGAGCACCTGCAAGAAGATTGGTTTATTGTTTGTTTTTCCTATGATCATTTTTATTGTTGTTATAGTATCTGGTGTTGAACTGTCTTGCTTGGGAAAATATATTGCTTCCGGAGGCCCTGGTGTATCCCTTCTATTTTCTAGCATGTTTCCTACTTTTTTGTTATCCTTGAAAGAAAACATTTTTTGTTATCTTTAAAATTTTTTTCTGAATGTTTTGGCAATAAAAGTTGTTTCCCCTAAAAAAGAAAGAAAAAAAAAAAAGGTATGCCGCACTTTACTTTCACCCCTGTTGGGAAGCACGAGTGTGATTTCTAGGATGTTGCAATTGAGTTTCATGATGAGGAAGAGATTATTTAGTATTCCTATTCTTTTTATTAATTATCATCCAGGCCTCGAAGCCACTGTTCCAAGTGTATTTAATATTCATTTTAGTATTAGTTATATTAAAAAAAGGTCTGTTGGCAGTTTTTTTTAGATGATATGGATGAAGATTTCTGAAATTAACATTTGAGAGAAGAGGGGGCAATAATTTTTTTATGGAATCGAATTACCATAAAAGGTTTTCAAAAGAGAACCGGTTGGTCAAACTAACATGATGAAGGTTGTTCGAAGGGCCTTAGGTAACCCAGAAATATTGTATAATGTGATCTAAGAAGGAATTAGTTAGTGGTGCATAAGAATTTACAAACTATGAAACAGTTGGTTTAGTTTATACTGATGGCTACTATAGGTATAAATGAATAGTGTTGTGACTAGTTATGATAATAATGTTCAGAATTTCATTGAAACCAATTGTGATACCCGGGATGATGATATCCTCACCCATGAAGTGCAACCTCAATGTTGAATGTTATGATGACGTGAAAAATCCTGAAAAGAATGGGAAGATATCATAAAAATTGAGAAATTGGAGATAATGGAATTTACTTTCAATCTAATCTGGTTGAGTGGCATTGGTGATGTTTTGCTCTTATTTGAAATATTTTTTCTGAATTTATGAGGACTGTTCAATAAGTTTTGGAGAAATTTTCTCTTCTAAAACAGCATTTTTACCTTTTTTTGGACAAATATTTTTCTCTTATTAAACAAATATTTTTCTTGTGCCGTGCTTTAAGTCTTGTTCATTTGACGGAGCAATGGTACAACCTGATTTGAATAATTATTATTAAAAATCAAAATTTTTGTAATTATATTTGATTGGAAAATTTGCTTGTCAAATTATGTTAAATATGCAGCATCATTCATGAGTTTGTAATTGAAGTGAATTCTCTTGTTCTTGAAATAGCATATGTTTTACTCATGTTAGAAAATCCTCAACCTTGGTGCTTGGCATTAGGAATCAAATGACTTAACTGTTTGAGCATGAGCAGTTATTCGCGTAGGTTAATGACTAAATGCATCTATGTTACTTCCAACAAAATTTTTCTCTACTTGGTGCCATTGAAATTGATTTTTGGTGTTTCTAGCATTAATTTTTTCACCTCTCTTGCTGCATTTCTAAGTTTTTTGTGTGCATGGAAATGATGATCTTCGGTTTTCTGTTGGTTTCCATTGTTTCCTTTCTATTGTAACGTTTTTCATACTGAAAGGCTGTTCTTTTGGAGAGCAGTCTATGACTTTTCTGTCCGTTGCCTTTACCAGGGCAATCTGCTGCCATTCAGTATGGAACTGGAGCAGTTGCAGGATTCCTCAGTCAAGATCATATTACTGTTGGTGACCTTCTTGTGAAAGATCAGGCATGCTTTTTAGACAGTGTTTACGTTTAGAATGTTATATTTTGTTTGTGCTATGGAGTAGATTCTGATATGCTTGGTTTGCGCAGGTTTTTATTGAAGCCACCAAGGAGCCGGGTGTGACTTTCTTAGTGGCAAAATTTGATGGCATTCTTGGTCTAGGATTTAAAGAAATATCAGTTGATAAGGTGGTACCTGTGTGGTAAGCGTATCTATCCTTTGTTCTGAATGACTTGCTTTTACTTTGTATTTATCCAGGGATACAACTTCTTGCTTTTACTTAATGCTTCAGTTTGTGAGTTTTTATTTCTAGTTTTTTTATATGCTAAATTTATTTACCAGTTTGATACTTCTATTTATTTCATGCTACATGAAGAAATCCAATTATCATTGCTCAAGTAGGACAATGAACTAAAAAAGTCATTGCTGCACTTTCGGATGATGATGAATACTTTGATATTTGATTTTGCATTGGTTTGGTGTCTAATACACTTTTAAACTTCAAAAAATAAAAAATGCACTTTGCATGCTATCTTCATGTTTGTTGGATAAGGATATTTTTATCCACATTGCATTCATTTCACTATAGGAATACTGATGAAAAATCGATTGATAGGAACAAAAAAAAAAAAAAAAAAAAAAAAAAAAAAAAAAAAAAAAAAAAAAAAAAAAAAAAACCTACTAAATAAATTTTGGTGAACCAAAGTCCTTCCAAAACGACTTAATTGATGAATTAGACTTGTTGGCGGTTATATTGCTTTATGGGATTGTCAATTGAATATTTCTTATGAAATATTTGGTTGGAATTTTTGGTTAATTTTTTTCTACATGATTTAGTTATACCTTGTATGAGAAAAAGAAGTCCTTGGCACTTGTATGCTATTTTTTTTTAACTTCTTTCCCCGTGAGTAAATAAGCTAGATAGTGGGCATCAAATATACATTAGATAGGAACCCTTAAAATAAATTAACAATATTCACTCATTTCAGATTAAAACAATCAAGCATAAAAATTAAATTCACTTATAACAGAAATTAGAGTGCTTATAAATTAGCATATGTTTGTTTTGCTTTCAATCCCCGCCTCTCTCCTCCCTCTTCCCTTTCATTGACCTCTTCCCCCTTGTCTATTTTTTTTTATCTTTTACCTTAATGCACTATAGACTAATTTGTTGTTAGACTATGGCATCAATAAATGCATGCATCTCCGCATTCATATGAACTGATAGATCCTCACCATACAGGCCACCTGGTGCCACACCATCTCTTGTAACTCATTGCTTAACTAATTATGACGGGGTTATAGCATAAATTCCCTTTTTTCTTCTTCCAACATCTTGCATGTACAACTTATAATTTGATTGTTGGGCTGATCTGTTTGATTCCCTCTCATATAGAGTTTTGAGTTTGTTTGTTTTTTTAATCCCATGCATTCTTCCTACAAAAGATTATTATTCATTAGATTTTTAAATGTTTAAATAATTAATGCTTATATTTTAAATTATTCATATTTACATAAACTCTCTATGATCGTTGTTCCACCCATTGTTATTTCATCTGCTTCTAATTAGTGCACACACATATCCAACTCCATCATGGTGTGACTTTTCACAACATCCATTTTTCTGGAAAAGTAAATAAATTAACAAAAATATATAAAAATAAAATTATATGTATTAATTACACTTATTCTTTTATGTTGTGTGCTGAGCGTAGCTGCAAGCATGAAGCCAGGTGCTTTTGACTCTATAGTTAGAAGTGTCATTGTCTTTCTTCTGCTCTCTTTACTTTGCATACCTTGACCAATTGTTTTATAAGATCCAAGCATTCAAATGATGCACATAGCGCTGCCTACCCTCTTCATTCCCCTCAAGCCACTGCTTATCTTTACAAATATCAGTAAACATATTGCATAATCATGTTAGTCGCATTGGTCAAAGTTCCTCATGATTCTGTCATGATGTTGGGAGAGCTAATAAAAGCTATTCTACAATAACAGATAAATTATTGATATCTCCAAGTTCAGAGATTTTTTAAATAAAAATTTTATATTTATTACCTCAGATTTGCGAACTTATATGCTGCCACTTTTTAATTTATCTTCTTTAATAATGTACATAGGAGCATTAAGTTTGCTTGTTATGATCTCTCTTATTTTATGTTACCTAATGTTGTAAGTTAAATTTAATTAAACTCGATAAAAATATTGAATCCATAAAGTTGAGATAAATAACTTAGTTAAGATCATGATATTTAAGTTTTACATTTAACAAAACAGCTCACTATATTATTTATGCTCGTGTATGCTACATTTATACTCCTATGTAGTTTGGGCAGGTGTGTGGTCTTAGGGGCTATGAGAGGGAGAATAAGCGTGGTCAAGGTAGCTAGACAATTCTACCTACTGAGGTGGTGGGGATAGTAGTTTGATTGTATGAGGAAGTTCCGGTGTTTTGGGGATGGTTATGGATCGGGTGGTGATGGAAAGCGTGAATATAAATGAAATCTAGTGGTATGTGCAGCTGGTGGGGAAAGTAGATGATTGTGCTATGAATTTGATCGTTTGGTACAAGTGATAGTGGTGATGATAGTAGTATTAAATGGAGTTGAGATTGAGTGGTAGTGGCTCTAACATCAATCTTTTTTCGTCATTTTAAATATATAGATTTAATAGATTTGACCTTCTCTAATTTTTTTTCTTTTTTTATTTTTTATGTTTGAGTAGATAACACTTAAATTGTTGAAGTATGATACCCTTCAGATTAAATAGGCCACAGAGGATTATTTAAGGAACTATTTTAGGAATTAAATTATTATAACCTACAACTTTAGGTGATAATGATGTGTACAAGGTATGAAATTTTAATATTAATAATATTAACATTAACAAAATTGTAAATTAACTTTAAAATCGTAAGGCTTAGTACTTGAATCAGAATGCAAATATTTACCCAATCATTTATATAATAAATGGTCAATAATATAAATTTAAATTAGTTTGTTTTATATAATAGGATTTATACGTAGTTAAGCACCCAAGCAACCTACATTCATGCCTAATCTTTATCCGGGTTAGGATCTTGCTAACCAACTTGCCATTGCAAGACATTCTCTTTCACTCCGTTGATTAGTAAAGAAATCTTAACGCAATCTCGTTTTAAGGACAAGAGCACCAACTTCCTTTACAAATTTTGTCTATTGTACACTTGACATTTTTTTTAAACCTTTAGAAGGATACATGTAGTCAACCCAACTTGGTGGGATAAGGGCTTGTTGTCATTGTTGCTGTTGTCGTTGATTACTTTCCAAAATCAATTATAGGCGATCTTAATTTTGGAAGTTACATCTTGATTTTTTTTTTATGATTTCTAAAGCATCATCATGACCATTTAAAACCCCCAAGTGTGATGGTGCACATGCCCTTTAATGTTAGTTGCCTACCTACCGTAGGATTACCTATGCAAAAATGGTGCTAACAGTCAATAATTGGCTTGTCTTATGATGATTATTGGTCCATCTCCATTAAATTTGAATTAAAGTCAATATGGTTCATCAGACATTGGAATGACAGTTAGTTAGTTAACATAGCCTATGACAAAACAATGAAGTTGGAGATTTGGTTTTATAAGTTGTTAAAGCCTTTAAGCCATGCCTTGAATGAGTTTGGGTTGAATGGTTATGAATAAGTTGAATGGTGAGGATTAATTGCTATTGGTTGACTTGTGATAACCTAGGCAACCAATATATGGTAAACAAATATGAGATGTATAACAGGTGAGAGAGAGGCATGTCTTCACAATGAATCATAGATCAAGGCTTGTGATAGTTTAAGAGCGATGCAAAGGGAGAGGAGAGGATGGTTGTTAGTCTGTAGTCAGGAAGTTGCAGTTGGTTGGAGTGTAGTATATGTGTGGCCAGAGGGGCATGAGATAATGATCCAGGAGAGATGTGGAAACAATGAATCCATGCGCGATGTTGCTCTAGAAAAACAAGCATGCAGTGAGTGGTGGCAATAAAGAGTTCGCTCTGATTATTGGCAATTGCTTGAAGAGGTGGTTATGATTGGGGAATTTATTCACAAAAACCAGCAAATTTCTGGTGAAAAAATCACTAGAATGTTGCTAATAATATTTATTGGTTTAATTTTGACAAGCTGAGTAATTGTTCATATTTGTGCCGATTCTTTTGGTAGAAAATTCATCTGATATATCTATGTTTTGTTTGGTGTATATTTTAAATTTTTAATTAGTGCACTTTGTCTTGCCGTAGTATAAATTAATCCATTTTGTACTAGTCGATGTTGTTAATCTCACTTTTTAAACATCAAAGCTGAGTGAATTTATATTATACTCCTTACAATTCCACTTTGGTTTTCTTAAACAAATATATCACTTTTAACTCTTTTTTATATATAATTTTGGTGAAGAGGGTGTTCCTAAAGAGAAAATATTACGTCCCGAGTCCAGATGTTGAGTTACGCACAGACTCCAATTAAAGTTTGACACATGTCGAATATATAAAATATTATTTTATTATAAAAAAGGGAGAAGCTTGAAGCCCAACCCAGTCATGGTGTACAATATGGTTGTACTGGAGGTTTTTCTTCAGTACAACTATGTTGTAGTAAAAATAAAACATCCAAATAAATAATTCGATGTAAAAGTTAGTGTACAATATGGTTGTACTCAAGAAAACCTTCAGTACAACCATGTTGTACATGATAATCAATACAGGTCGAGCTTTCCGACCCGATCATGGTGTACAACATGGTTGTATTAGATGTTTTTCTTCAATACAACTATATTGCACTAAGTAAAAAAATATCTTAATAAACAATTCGATATGAAAGTCATAGTGTACAACATGATTACTCTCAAGAAAACTTTCAGTACAACCATACACCATAATCAATATGAGTCGAGTTGCTCCGTTGTTTAGACAATAAAATAATATTTTATATATTTGACACGCCTCAAATTTTAATTTGAGTCCGTATGTAACTCTACATTCAGTTTCCGGACGAAATATTTTCTCGTTCATAAAATAGGGACACTTCATTTGTGATATGGAGTTCACTTGCTTGATTCATGAAATCCTCCTCTCCTCGTTGTAGATGTAAGATTCTATGCATAAAACACGCCTTAAATATTGCATAGGCGGAAGCTTCATGTATATTTTTTTCTTGAGCTTTATAATGAAGATCCTGTATTCATACACTTTTACATATCCATCTTTTTAATTATACCCATTTTTTCGAGTTTTTTTTTTATTGAACTTATTGTTGGGCAAGTAAAATGAGTAAAACACATGGACCTTATGTCAATTTTTTTATGCTTTACTGAGCATGACTACAATCATCTAAGCCTACTTAAGACCACTTTGTTTGTTATGAGTATGGTTTAATTCTTTTAGTCTTATTGAAAATGTTAGCCTATCGTTTGTTTTTACCGGAAGAGGAGAAGTGGCATGGGAATCCATGTGCTTCGTGTGGTGGAGAAAAAGTTTCCTTAGAAAAATTAGGTTTTCAGAATGATTTTAGCTATCTAGTATTATGATGCTTACTTTGCTTAGTGACTGTTATCTATCTGGCTGTATGATGTTTATGAAAATCCATCCACTTATTCGGGTCCCCTTTTATTTGAGTTATATGAATTATCATTGTTGGGATATAGTTTAGAAAACATGTGTTGCCATAGATGCTGCTAAAGTTATAGGGTCTACCGTGGTTCTTTGTTATTTGCCAACATCTTTTAATCTTGTAGTTAGAAAGTCTGGCATGGGGTTTTACCAAGGGAAGTTGCTTGATTAACAAAAATAGTGTTCTCTTTCTTTTCTATTGATTGAAAGATAATAAATGGTTTTCTGATCTACTTGTCATTTTCATGCAGGTATAACATGGTGGATCAGGGTGTTATTAAAGATCCTATTTTCTCTTTCTGGTTAAATAGGAATTCAAAGGACGGTGATGGTGGTGAAATAGTGTTTGGAGGTTCTGACCCGAAGCATTACAAGGGTGAACACACATATGTCCCTGTGACTCTGAAGGGCTACTGGCAGGTAAACTCTTAAGTTGCCCATTTGATTAATTGTATTTTTATCATTTGTCACTTAATTTCATTTTTCATACTGCTAGTGAAAGCTGTGATGATTCTTGTAACTTATATTTTCTTCCTGATCCTTACTTTTCTTAAGTTTATTTTTCTGAATTCTGTGATGCAGTTTGATATGGGTGATGTTCTTGTTGGTGGTAAAAACACTGGTATTCTTTGTAAACTTCTCATAGTCTAAATTCTTTTGTATTTTACTACAATGCTTACCGCCTAATCTGATCTTCATTTATATTTGGACTGTCAGGATTCTGTTCTGGTGGTTGTGCAGCTATTGCTGATTCTGGTACTTCTTTGATTGCTGGACCAACTGTAAGTTTTTAAAAAACTAGCTTTATATCTAATAAAAATTTAGGTTGTATGATGATACTTCTTCTTATACCATTCTATCTAATTTATTCTTAAGTTCTGTTTTTTTAAAATTATTTTTTGGACAAATAAATGATCATTTTTCTTTTATGTTGTATGAATATGGCTTTAAAGAAAACTAAGGGTCGAAAGTTTGTATGCCCTGATGATATTCCAATTGAAGTGTGAAAATATTTAGGAGATTTGGAAGTTTCTTTGCTTACTAAACTCTTTAATATTATTTTAAAAACAAAAAAAATGTCTGAGGAGTAGAGGAAGAGTATTTTGGTCCCCATTTTTTAAGAATAAATGGGATGCACAAGAATGTGCAATTTATAGAGGAATTAAGTTGATGTGTCATACTTTAAAATTATGGGAGAGGGTAATTGAACATAGGTTAAGGCGTATTACAAAGATTTCTCATAATCAATTTGGTTTTATGTCGGGCAGGTCACCATGGAAGCTATACATTTTTTGAGAGGTTTAATGGAGAAGTTCAGAGATAATAAGGAGGATCTACATTTGATTTTTATTGATTTAGAAAAAGCTTACGATAAGGTTCCAAGAGATGTCATTGGGAGCGTTCTTAAAAAGAAAGGTGTTGATATGACTTATATTCAAGTCATTAAAGATATGTATACTAGAGTTGTTTCTTGTGTTTGAACTGAAGGAGGATTGACCAAATATTTTTCTATTTCTGTTGGATTACATCAGGGTTTGGTTTTGAGCCCATATCTTTTTGCTTTAGTTATGGATGCTCTTACTGGACATTTACTGGAGGATGTACCTTGGTGTATGTTTTTTGCTGATGATATTCTTCTCGTGGAGAAGACGAAAGAAAAAGCCCAGGAAAAACTTGAATTATTGAGGTCTACATTTGAGTCTAAAGGCCTTCAGGTGAGTAGAACTAAAACTGAATACATGGAATGTAATTTTAGTAGTAGTGGCTCTAGTGACAGAAGTGAAAATTTGGTTGATCAAATTATTAGAAGGTGTGACCGATTTAGATATCTCGGGCCTGTTGTTCAAAGAAATGGTGATATAGATGGGGATGTTAATAGTAGAATTCAAGTTGGTTGGTTGAAATGAAGGAATGCTTCGGGCCTTTTGTGTGATAGAAAAGTACCGCTTAGATTGAAAGGAAAATTTTATAAGAGGGTGGTGAGACCTGCAATGCTCTATGGCTTTGCATGTTGTCCTTTAAAAGAGAAGCATAATACTAAGTTAAGTGTTGCCGAGATAAGAATGATTAGGTGGATTAGTGGATTTACACAAAATGCGAAATGAATATATCCAGGACAGGGTTGATGTAGCTTCAGTGACAGACAAAATTAGAGAGAGTCGCCTTAGATGGTTTGATTACATTATTACATTAAACATCGACCATCTCGACCATCTGATGATCCGATTAGGAGAGTAGATGTTTTAGATTTGACTTATGTTTTTAGAAAGGCAGTGGTAGACCTAGGAAGACTTGGGCTTATTGTATAAAAAATGATCTTAAGTTATTAGAATTTAAATGATAATATGACACTAAATAGGGCGCAATGGAGAAAAAGGATTCATGTAGCCGACCCCACGTAGTGGGAATAAGGCTTTGTTGTTGTTGTTGTTGTTGATGTATGAATATGGATGCATTTATTGTGACAAATTTATTTGTTCCAACCGTGATGATGGAAGCTTCATGCGTTAGTTACTTATGTTATCTTTGTCCATTTACTTGATGCATGCGTTTGTATTATTTTTCTCTCCTTTTTTGTATATTCGTACAAAGGAAGATTGGATATCTGTATGATATAGCATGTATATGCTTTATGGATGTAAATTAGTATTTTTCCATGATTGACTGTGTTATACTCAGAATTTTGGAAAATTTTATTTGCCTTGTCATAAATTAATTATAATTTCCTCTATGTTGCCCAAAGAATATCTGCTCAAGTTGTTATGTGGCTTATTATAAACCATTTGGACATCTAGCTGGTCATTAAAGCATTTTCCTTGGGCTGTTTGAATCTTCCTTAAATATTGTTTCACTTCATTTTGATGCTGACTTTTGTTTCATACAGACAATTATTACAGAAATTAACCAGAAAATTGGAGCTGCTGGTGTTGTTAGCCAAGAATGTAAAACAGTTGTTTCTCAATATGGCCAGCAGATTTTGGATCTATTGCTAACAGAGGTATCGATAAATGTTCTGACTTCATATAACATTATTGCATTTTGTTTTATGCAATTCCCTCTGAGAATACATAGTTGCAGGCTATTTGATGATTGCTGATATTGATTTACTCTGCAGGCCCAACCAACGAAGATATGCTCTCAGATTGGTCTCTGTACTTTTGATGGCGCTCACTCAGTGGGGTGAGAAATCCGCATCTTCCATACTTTAGCAGAAAACCGCTTTGCTCTGAAATATTATTACTATTATTAGTATTATTATTACTATTATTATTATTGTTTTAATTTTTAATTCAATGAAATTTGTCATTTATATGATTAAACAATCTGTAATACAGCATCGGCATTGAGAGCGTGGTCAAGGGCAATGGGGTTAAATCTTCCCTTGGCAGGAGTGATGCCATGTGCGCTGCTTGTGAGATGTCTGTTGTTTGGATGCAAAATCAGTTGAGGGAGAATAAAACACAGGAACTCATTCTAAACTATGTCAACCAGGTAATTGAACACTTCTGTTTATATATTTGTTCTTTTTAATTTTCCAACGGACAGTTTTAGGCTAATATTTTCTGCAAGTAACCAGCTATGCGAGAGACTTCCTAGTCCCATGGGAGAATCCGCTGTTGATTGCGGTGATGTTTCCTCAATGCCTGACGTTTCTTTCACTATCGGCGGCAAGACATTTGAACTCACAGCTGAGCAGGTAATCCTGTGTTTTCAATTGTTTTTTTCTTAATTAATTATTATTATTTTATTTTTACGAGTAATATTCCCACCGACTTACGAGTTCTTAAGTCATGAGAACTTACATCAATTTTTTTTTTATTATTAAATCTTTTCGTATAACACTTTTTTTTCAGTATATTCTGAAAGTTGGTGAGGGACCAGCTGCACAATGCATCAGTGGATTCACAGCTTTGGACGTGGCCCCTCCTCGGGGTCCCCTATGGTATGTCCCACGCCCCCTATTTTTATCTGTTTTAAGCCTTTTGGGTCAATTTTGATTTTTATTTTTTGTGTTTTTATTTAAAATAAAATAAGTTTGACATATTATAATATGTTAAGAGTCATTTTCATAAACAGTTAAAAATATTTTTTAAAATAAATTAATTTATTTTTAAAAACAAATATAACATCATGCAAAAAAATATGCTAAATAAATATTATTTTAAGATAAAAAATAAATGTAATACTGCAAACACTTGAGCTTCTAAATGGATGAATGTCATACAAATTTACTATGGTTGATGGCTGCAGGATTCTGGGAGACATATTCATGGGAGTCTATCACACGGAGTTCGATTATGGAAACCTGAGGGTTGGGTTTGCTAAAGCTGCTTAATATACAGATGCTAACTCCCATATGGTTGTTATAGGACAGAAAAACTATTATGTTTTATAGATGAATTTACAATCTCAGTACTGAAAATTTACTATTGTAAATATGATGCGTTGTTTCCATACCTGCAAACAAACTTTAATTTTTTCTTTTGAGAATGAAATGCAATATGATGTGTGCTAATGCGTGATTTAAATTTTTTTGCTGTTCGGCTTTGCGTTTATGTGAGTTTTCTGAAAGCAAATTACTAATGAAATATCAAAGTCTATTTGTTTTATTAGAGCAGATTCTGTAGTTCTATTTAACATAAGCTGGAAATCTGTTTGGGACTGCTGCAGTTTATTAAAAAAATTATTGAAAATTTGTTAAGTGAAAAATACTCTTTAAATATTCAAACTTTTAATTCATGAAGATTGTGGTGTGACAAATTTTTATTATTACTAGTAAATTCTGGATTATTACATTATTAGATTTGTTTTAGGCATCCATGAATACTTTTTTTGATTGGCTACTATTACTATTCTTTAATAAAAAAATATAACTTTTAATGGTTAAACAATGTCTCTTGGTATACTAACATATAATTAAAATTTCTAGCTTGTTATAACTATTATTGTTCACCTAATTCTAAAAAAGAGCATACCCATATACTCAAAATTATATAGTAGTGATATACAATTGCACTTCAATTGGACGTAATGGAGAAAAAATGATTCATTCGCTCGACCCCTCTTAGTGGGATAAATGTTTGTTGTTGTTATTGTATATATAATTGCAGTTTAACAATACTAGTTATAACAAACTGCAAAGGATGAGATTGATGGGTATGAAGTAGCTAGTTATAAATGTTGTAAACGATAGCTATAATGCCAGCTTGTATTAAAGATCATAGTTGCAAGTTGTGGTAGTTCATGTAAGTCGTAAATGATTCCTTCAGGAGTGTCAGTTGGCTAAATCGGCCATGTTGGGAGCTGCAAGAACTGTGAGCTACTTAAGTTATTGGTAATATAGGCCGTAGTGGTGAGCTACGATGACATATGTAGGTTACAGAGGCAGAGGCGGGAGTTGAACGAGTTGTGAGAATGTTCATAGCCCGCAGAGGATGAAGTTGAGTGCCGTGTGAGTTTTGGAAACATTTATTGACTGTAAACATCTATAAACTGTTGGAGTTCTTAGTCACATAAGTCGTAGTTGGTCACATAGGCTGTAGTGGTGAGTTGTGATGACATTCGTAGGTCACAGAGATCAAAGTCAGGAGCTGCACAAATTGTGATTACATCTGTTGGTCATAGATGCCGAAGTTGGGAGCTGCATGAACTATGATAATGTCTGTAGACCATAGACGTTGACGTTAAGAGCTGTGTGAGCTATGAGCCATGTAGGTAGTAGTTGATCACATAAGTTGTAGTGGTGAGTTGTGATGACATTTATATGTAGCAAAAACTGAAGTTGGGAGCTGTTGTAAATCATGTTTGTCCTAGTTAATCAAGTAGATCATAGTGGTAAGTCGCAATAACGTTTTAGGTTGTGGAAGCCATTGGGGTCTATAATAACGTATGTACGCCACAATGACTAGAGTTGGGGGCTGGGGTTGCATGAATTGTTAGTAGAACTGGACATCTGGCAAGTCGGGCTTGATGTGGGTCGAGCTTATTCGGGCTTTGACCAATCAAAGTCTTATTGGGGGAGACTTGAGCGGATTTGTATTTACAATTTCATAACCAGGCTCAACAAGTCAGCCTGTGGGCTGCCAGTAGGCCATAAAATAAAAAAAATTTTTTCTTACTAAAATTCATTCTCATTTCCATTAATTAGGAAAAAATAAAGTCAACATAATTTTATTTAAATTTAACTTTAATGAGTCTCAAAATTATTAATTTCTTTTTACTACTAAGTTAGCTCTACTGATTTGTCGCGCTAGCTTTTCTTATACCTGAACAAAAACTTACTTTTATGCTTGCCTTAAAAAACATTAAATGGCATCATTGGTAGTTGATTTAAATTTATTTAAAAAACTATGTAACATGAATGGTTCAAAGGATCTGCAGTAAGTCTTAAATTGAATTTTTAGGCACAATTTTTTTCTTATATGGTTAGATGAATTAAGTAGCAAGTGTAAACACACAAAATATGCAAAAGTTTAAATTGAGAACATATCGATATGTAAATACATAGGAAATTAGTATGTATGCAACAAAAAAAAGAACCGCCTTAAAAACTTGCAATTGCGAATTATAACTATGAGACTTGTCATTGGGCGGGCTAAGATTCGTGTGTCAGGCCTATTCAGTACTAAGTCAAAGGGGGCTCGTGTCTGGTCGAGCCTGCTAAATTTCTATTTTTTCGTAGCCAAGCCCACCCATTTTAAGCAGACTTATGGCGAGCTCGTCGAGCCACTCGTTCAATGTTCAGGTTTAGTCTGAGTCGTGTATGTTGTAATTGGCCACATAGGTCATAGCAAGGAGTTGCACAATACTCGGGGTTTGTTGTTATATTGTCTTTGGGGTACATTATTGCACATTCTTTGGGGTGATGTTGTTACACCATCCTTGAGGTGATGTCATTGCACCATCTTCGAAGCATTCCTACACTTTCTTTGGGGTTCATTGATGCACCTTCTTTAGGGTACATTGTCGCACCGCCTTCATGGTGCATTAATGCACCATTTTTGGGATGACATCATTACACCATCTAAGTGGTGCGTTATGGCATCGTCTTCTAGGTTCACTCTTGCACTGCCTTCTGGTGATGGTGTCACGCTATCTTCATGGTGCGTAATTGTATCATCGTTAGGTGGTGTTATTACTTTTTTTCAGGGCGGGTTAGTTACACTGACCTTGGGGCGTGTTGTCGCACTGTCTTTGGGTTGCATTGCTGCATCATATGGTGCTTTGTTACTTCACAGCATATGCCTGAATTCTGCAGCATGCATCATAATTCAACTTCTTCTGATCTCGATCTTTCTTCATGCTCTTTTTATAGAGTGTGGGGGAGGCCTCTCTACAAATAAGAAAGAAATTTATACCATTCCATGGAACAACTTAGAGATGTTACCTCAACTAGATGACTTTGTATGGACATTTAGGTGTCTTTATGGCGTCATAATTCAATGATCTTAGTTTCGTTAGATTCATCTTGTTTAGACGCACAATTTTTCTATATCCTTGACAAATTTGGAAGTCATTTAACCTTCCAATTAGGCACCAAAAGCTTACAGAAGTGACTTACCAACTTGATCCAAGCTTTATTTGACTCATATTGGACCAACTTTGGTGTCCTTGAGTCTATTTCATAAAACTGGTCAATTCGAACATAAGTTTACTGAAATTGGAGCTATAAATGATTTTTAATTAAAATTTAAAAATTGCTTGTTAAAAATTTTATCTTGAGATTCATGTTTCGCCTTGAGATCTGTTTTAGATATGAAAATTTATTGAATGTCTTTCTGAAGCGGGCGACAAAATTTCAATTCTGGTGACCGACAGCTTCAAACGGGCAACTCCCCAACTAAAATTGTGCTGGCCATACCACTTAGATAAAAAATTCATAACTGTTTAAATTATATTTTAATTATTATAATTATTTATTGATTTTTAGATATTATTTAAATATAAAATATGTTTTAATTATAAACATTACTTTTTTTTATTTTTATTAAATGTCCATAAGTCCAGAGAACTAAGAGAAACAAACCTTTCATTTTTACAAATTTTATTTTATTTATTTTAATTATTTTAATGACAAATTAAAGAAAATACATTCTTAACATTTAAAAATACATAACTAAATTATAAAAAAATTAGAAAAAATATTTTAGAAGGTCCTAAGCGATCAAAGAACAATTAGGAGCAATTTTGGGCATTTTCATATTTTTGAAATTTTAATTATTTTTAATTCAAATTATAGCTAAAAAAATAACTCTTTATTTTATAATAATTTTTATTTTTCTTAAGTGCCCGTAATCACAAGGAATATAGAAACCACTTTTTATAATTTTTCTAATTATTTTTAGTTTATTATAATTATTTTAATGCAAAAAATACCATTTTACTTAGGAAATAAACTTTAGTACTCAAACTAAATCAAATAAATTTCAAATTTTACAGTGAGTTAGAACGATTATTATTTACAGTGTGGAATCTTTTTTTGTTAATTTTTAATTATTGTCTTATTTAATTTAATTTTAGTGAGTTTTTAGGGTTTAATTAACTATAGTAATTTACATAAACATTTAAACTTAATTTATATTTTTCTAAGAGTTCTTTGACCACAAGAAACCTACTAAAACTAGCCCCATATTTTTTTGATTTATATTTTATATTATAAAATTATTTTAATAAATAATAGCACATACACTTGAACATTAGGATTTTAAAGCTAGAGATATTTATTGACCTTGGCAAAATCAGAGAACATCTCTATTAACATGAGGAATCAACTAATAAAATTTTAAGTCATGGTGATTATTATTTACTTGGTTAGAATTAAAATAGTCTACAGGGTAATTAATTAATTGAAAATCAAAGACACATCAAATAATTTTTATTTTTATTCCATATTATTCTCTATTGTTCATTGAGCAACAAAGTGTTTTATTTTTATTTTTATGATTTTGATACACCAAGTTATGCATTTTTTAAGTTAACTAAATTAAATAAATTCATAAAATCCTGATTTTCCTACTTATCCGAGTCAGCGCCACCTCAACCTCAGCAACTCCAAACTCACGCGCATTACTCTGCCATTTGACGTAGCCATCTGTGTCAGATGTTGCACAACCCGCGGTTCATGTACCATCCTTCCATCCAACGTGATCTCAGCCGTCTGAACGATTAACGCGCGATCCAATGACTCTCCTTCATCGTCCCCGATCATCTTAACACGAGAACCGTCCAACTTAAAACCCTAAGATCTCACTTGACACTTAATGAAATCACATGAAGTTTGTTCCTACACCTTTATCTGATCCTAATAAACCTATATATATGGTCACATGTTCATGAAATTAAACTTTTCTTAACAAAAGCCCAAATCGAGTTAGATTTGGGTAAAATGGGCTATAACTTTATCTGAGAGGGGAGGCCTCAATCAGATGCTTGGAGAAGCTTCAATGGAGTCTGGCAAACCTCCTGGAAGTGTTGGTTTCCTCTGGTGAATGCTCTGAGTAGAAGTTCCTCTAATAGGTGGAGAGGTCGTGGTCTAG